CTTCCTTCCTTCCTTCCTTTTCTTTCTTTCTTTTTTCTTTCTTTCTTTCTTTCTTTCTTTCTCTCTCTCTTTCTTTCTCTCTTTCTCTCTCTTTCTTTCTTTCTTTCTTCCTCTTTCTTTCTCCCTTTCTTTCTTTCTCTCTTTCTCCCTTTCTTTCTTTCTCTCTTTCTCTCTCTCTCTCCCTTCCTTCCTTTCTTTCTTTCCTTCCTTTCTTTCTTTTCTCTCTTTCTTTCTTTCTTCCTTCCTTTCTTTCTTTCTTTTTTCTTTTCTTTTCTCTTTCTTTCTCTTTCTTTCTTTCTTTCTTTCTTTCTTTCTTTCTTTCTTTCTTTCTTTCTTTTCTTTCTTTCTTCCTTTCTTCCTTTCTTCCCTTCTTCCTTTCTTCCTTCTTTCTTTTCTTTTCTTTTCTTTCTCTCTTTCTCTTTCTTTTTATCCAAAATGTGTTTATTCGGATGGTTTCCCATTCATCTTGACTCAGGGTGCTTTTAGGGCTGCTTCCGTCTGAAGGAAAATCGTTCTGTAAGCCTTGCTTTTCCTCCTGTAGGCTGGCAGAGGACACTAGAGCAACCAACACACAAAACTACTGTTTGTGCATGGCTAAAGACGGTGGTAATTTTATAGCATCCTGGGAATTTCACATCCATAGAATAGGAATTGGGGCTCTGCACCAGGTGCTGCTTCTTGTGTTTTCTCTTCTTCTCTTCTGGAGAAGGATGAAGGAGATCCTTTGCAACAGGCATGTTCTTGTGGGGAGGTCATCACTGCCAGAAAGGCGCCTCACCCTTTATTTCAAAAAGCAAAGTTACCTTTCTCATAATCCAATAAATTTAGGTTAAAAAAGGAGAATCCTCAGATTAAATGAATTCACACTAAATTATAAATGACCCCTAAATTCCCATAACAGTTCTAGAAGTATTTTCAAGAAGATGCTTGCAAGTCCACATGATTCCCTAAATGGTGAGGTTCATGCATTGGACGTGGTGGTAGTGTAATAAAATCTTTGCAAATAGGAAGGCGACATGATGTTGAAATCCCAGAAACTTGTTTAAAGGTGAATGGCAACCCAGTAGTGGATTCACTAGAGTGAGAGTCCCACTTTGTAATATCATAAAGATGACAGAATAGGAGGCCCCAGTCTCTGTCCTCCCACCAAGATTGGCAGTTTACTATCTACAAGCAAAAACACCTCTGGAATAGCTCTGGAGTTCATAAGAAACTTCATGAACACTTATAGCTGTAATAATTTATTAATGAATACACACTATTAAAAGATTAATATATTGTGAAATAAAGAACATTAAAATGTTGAGGGGGATAGAAATTTTATATGCAATCAAAATTATCAGATTAAAATAGACTTACATTATACTGTATAGCACAGGGAAATATAGGCAATATCTTGCGGTAGCTCACAGCGAAAAAAAAATGTGACAATGAATATATGTATGTACATGTATAACTGAAAACTTGTGCTCTACACTGGAAGTTGACACAGCATTGTAAAATGACTATAACTCAATAAAAAAGTTTTTTAAAAATATTTTTTAAAAAAGACTGTTATAGCTATAAGATGTTTCAAGTAAGCCTCATGGTAACTGCAAAATAAAGTAGGTACACACAAGATAAAGAGAAAGGAATCAGTCACTACAGAAAGTCATAAATTTACAAAAGAAGACAATAAGGTGGAAAGAAAGAACAAAAGAACTACAAAAAAATTAACAAAGTAATACTAAGTCTTTACCAATAAATGGATTAAATCTTCAATCAAAAAGTGCAAAGTTGCTGAATGGATTAAAAAACAAGATCCAATTATATGATGCCTATAAGAGATTCACTTCAGCTAAAGTGAACACATAGACTCAAAGTGCAGGAATGCAAAAAGATATTTCTCACAAATGAAAACCAGAAGAGAGCAGGAGTAGCTATACTTAGATCAGATAAAATAGACTTTAAGTGAAAAATGAGAGCAAAGGATAAAGAAGGTCATTATATAATGATAAAAGGGTTAATTCATCAAGAGGATATATAACAATTCAAATATGCACAAACTCACCTTCAGCATACCTAAGTATATTAAGCAAATATATACAGATCTGAAGGGATTAATTGACAACACAGTAATAGTAAGGGACTTCAGTATCTCACTTTCAACAATGGATAGATCATCCAGAGAGAAAATCAATATGGAAGCATTGAACTTGAACTATACTTGAGATGAAATGGACCTAACAGACATTTACAAAACATTCCATCCAAAAGTACAATATACATTCTCAGATGCACATGGGCATATTCCAGAGTAGATCATATATTAGGTCACAAAACAAATGTCAGCAAATTTTTAAAGATTGAACTCATATCAAGTAAGTTTTCTGACTGCAGTGGTAAGAAACCAGAAATCAATAACAGGAGGACATTTGGGAAATGCACATATATATGGAAATTAAACAACACACTCCTGAACAACCAGTAAGTCAAAGATGAAATCAAAAGGGAAGTCAAGAAATATCTTGAAACAAATGAAAATGGAAACAATATATCAAAACTTATGGGATGCTAAAGAAAAAAAAAACAAAAAAACCCAAAAACTTACGGGATGCTGCAGAAGCAGTGCCAAAAGAGAAGCTTGTTGTGATCAATGCAAATGTTAAGAAAAAAGAAAGATATGAAAGAAACCACCTAGCTTACACCTCTAGAACTAGAAGAACAGGAACAAACTAAGCCCAAATTAGCAGACGGAAGGAAGTTACAAAGATTGGAAAAGATATAATTAAAAAATTCAGTGAAACTGAGAGTTGGTTTTTTGAAAAGATGACTTAATAGACAGTCCTTTGCTAGATGAAGGGGGTAAAGAGAGGTGATTCAAATAAAATTATAAATGAAAGAGGTGGCATTACAAATGAACCACAGAAATACAAAAGGATCATAAGAGACTACAGTGAACAGTTACACACCAACAAGTTGGACAACCTAGAAGAAACGGATAGATTCCTAGAAACATGTGACATATTAAATTTGAATCATGAAGAGGTAGAAAATTTGAACAGACCAATAACAAATAAGGAGACAGAATCAGTAATTCAAAACTCCCCACAAAGAAAAGCCTGGGACCAGATGTCTCCATGGGTGAATTCTACCAGATAGTTAAAGAAAAATTAATATAATTTTCTCATAATTTTTAAAACATTTGAAGGGAACACTTCCAAACTAATTTTATGAAGCCAGTGTTACCCTAAACCAAAGCTAATAGGAATACTACCAGGAAAGAAAACCACAGACCAATATCCCTGATGAATATGTTTGCAAAAATTCTCAACAAGAATATTAGCAAACAAAACTCAACAACACATTGAAAGATCATACACCATGATCAAGTGGGATTTATCCCTGGAATGCAAGGGTGATCCAACATACCCAAATCAGTCAGTGTGATACACAAATTAACAGAATGGAAGACAAAAATCATGATCGTCTCAATAAATGCAGAAAAAATATTTGACAAAATTCAACATCCTTTCATGATAAAAGCTCAGCAAATTGAGGATCAAAGGAATATACTTCAACATAATAAAGAGCATATATGATAGACCCACAGCTAACGTCCTAAGGGTAAAAGAATGAAAGCTTTCCCTCTAAGATCAGAAACAAGACAAGATTGCTCACTCTTACCACTTTTATTCAACATAGTACAGAAAGTCCCAACCAGAGAAGTTAGGCAAGAAAAAGAAGAGGCATCTAAATAGGAAAGGAAGGAGTAAAATTGTCTCTCCTTGCTAAGAACTGATATTGTATATAGAAATCCTTAAGAGTCCACCAATAAAACTGTTAGAGCTAATCAACAAAGTATGTAAACTTTCAAGGCACAAAATCAACATACAAAAATCAGTTGCGTTTCTACACACTAACAATGAATTAGCTGAAAAAGAAATAAAACAATCCCATTTACAGTAACATCAAAAATAATGAAATACTTAGGAATAACTTAACCAAGGAAATGAAAGAGCTATACACTAAAAACTATAAGACATTGAGGAAAGAGATTGAAGAAGGCATAGATAGATGGAAAGATATCCCATGTTCATGGATCAGAAGCATTAATATTGTTAAAATATCCCTACCTGCCAAAGCCATGCACAGACTTAATGCAATTCCTATCAAAATTTCAGTTGCATTTTTCACAGAAATAGAAACATTAATATTAAAATTTATATGGAACTACGGAAGACCCAGAATAGCTAAAGCAATCTTGAGAAAGAACAAAGCTGGAGGCATCATGCTTCCTGATTAAAAACTACAATACAAAGCTATGTAATCAAAACAGTATGGTACTGGCATAAAAAGAGACACAAAGGTAA